AGGGGTGGGAAGAGGGGTTATTAAGCTCGGATTCTTAGCGCAATTGTTGATTGCAACAGGTGTTCTATTACGTTACCTAGGTATTTTGTATTTGTTTGGAGGTCTGGAGGGGTGGGGAGAGGGGTTGTTGAGCTCGGATTCTTACTTTCTTCTACTACTCAGGAGCCTTCTTCAAAAGGTTAGTCACCCTTCCAACAGTCACTACTCCTAAAACAGCAACAATCCTCTTTTAGATACTCCTATGGCCCCAGCAACCCACCGTACACCATAACTCTAGAATTATGAATAATCAAATTTTACTTAACGTTACCCGGTGTCAGTTCTTTTGGTGTGTTTCCCCATAGAGCTTTATTCTGTTTCACAGCCAGATTACATAATGACATCTAATTGGGTGACGAAACCCATTCAAAAGTGGCTTTGGTCGAAATGATTCGACTTACACAAATCAATAGGATCACAAAAAGTCAACGCACTTTTAAGGTTGAAGTTCTGGACGACCAATTGCAACAATACTTCAATTAAAATGAAACTTTAAAATCCTCTAATAAACAAAATGTATCTCCCAGTACTTCCCGGTACATCTATATATTGAAACTTCTGCCAGGCAATTTGTTTAGCGGTAAATATCTGGTAGACACCCTTGATTCCCGGTGCAAGGATATGTTTAGCAAAACCTTGCACAAAACGAAACGTTGTGTTCCGGTCGAGTTCCATAAAGTAGCCCTTCGCCTACTAATAATATTTTCAGATAACAAAACGTTGGCTATTGCCTTTTGAGTTGAACTGTTTGACATGTTGGGTGGGGACATCAAGATGAGCAAAGGAAATATCATGAATTCTATGTACCGAGGAGATATGCTGAAATGGGCCTTTTGTTGGGTGGCCTCCGTTTTAAAACCGATAGTGACACGCATTTAAAAAAATATCGCATTGACGCATGGCAAAGTATTTCTCTAAAATGTCATCATTGACAAACAAAACCCCAAAGAAACGTTTTTGTGAGAAAGCAAAAATGTCTTGCTTCAAACTGGCAAAGACAGTTTTGGCCGACGAGAAACTCCTATAAATGCAATGAGTGTTGTCGAGTCAGGTGTTCCTGCTTCCTTGACGAATCAGCCAGAAAGACCTAGAATTACACCTTTTTAATCATTAAATAACAGTGAGAAAAAAAAGATGCACAAACAGTTTTGGGCATGTTCCATATCGAGACTGGATATATTTCCAATGTATCTCACCATGACGACAATGAAAGAATCTCAGTGGATAGAATTTTATACAGTCCTGTCTTTAAAAGATTCAGCTTTCATCGAATTTGAAATCAAAGGACAGCCCGATCTGAATGGAAGTTATCTGAATTTGAAAGTCAACGTGATCCCAACTGACAACGCTGAACTAAACTCCTATGAGCCGGCAGGTCCTATAAACAATTTCGTGCATTACGTATTCAGGGAAGTGGATTTGTAGTTAAATAACAAACCGGTCATCAATAGTATGGATACTAAACCCTTACCGAGTGTGCCTTGACAATCTCTTGACGTACGGAAAAAGAAGCAAAGTAACCATGTGTGCTTTGGAAACCTTATACAACGGGTGAGTTCGATAAAGTGGCGGATAAAGATTGAACCAATAATGGATTCGACGAGCATCGAAAGAAAATCAAACTTCATCGAAGTTTAGAACTGATCTATCGCTTGCACTCGGACATGTTGTTGCAAGAAAAATGTTTGCTGCACATAGTGAATGTCTGCCTAATACTGCATATCAGCAGTAACGCCATCCTTTTGATGGTGTCAGCTGACAACGCATACAAAACATTCATCCATAAAGTGGGAAACGCTTACAAATGTCAACCATAAAGTGGGAAATTAATCTGTTACACGTTGAGCAGAACGACCGCCAAGTATCCGATACGACTTGTGGAAGCAAATACCTTCACGATTGCCACTGCACTCCAATCCGAGATCGAAGGTCATCTGTTCCAAGCACAATTACCCAATCTTTTAATCATTGGCATCAGCAATACAGCCTTAAACGGAGCCTGCAATCAAAAAACTTTCGAGTTTGAAAACTACAACGTGTCCAAGATTAAAGTCAGTTGGGATGGCAAGACCTTGTGTACGAGACCCTGCGAACCTAACCTTCCACAAAATAATTACTTGAGATCGTATTAGCCCCTATACGAAGCCACGGGACAGTTAGAGACCAACACCAGCCGTGGTATTACCAAAGACGATTATCCAGAACGTTACACCTTGTGGGTCATTGATTTCACTCCATACCATGGCAGCGATGAGGGACATTTCCATCCTTTAAAAATAGGTCAACTGCGTGTGGAACTTCAGTTCCATGATCCTCTGCCCGAGACGGTGAACATCAACTTGTATCCAAAATTGGATAATAAGATACATATCAACAGCTTGAGATAAGTCATTCTAAACCATTAAATGTTATGAACAACTCTTATCCCTCTTTGAATAGCAAAGAATCTTTGGAAATGGAATGGGATGATATCGTAGAACCCGCAACAAAAGACAAAGACGAAGAGGACATGGTCATGTCCAGATGACCAGAACAAGAACAACATGTATTCTCCTGTTTTGCTAAACATCTGTCAGAAACAATTACAGCGTTTACCAAGAAACATTACTCGGATGTCAAAACGATCATCCTAATCAATTTCAACTTCAACACGATAAATATCTGATAATGAGTCAAGAAGAAATATTGGACTAGTATCTGAATGACGCATGGGTTCTCCTCTCGCACTGAATCTCTCGTGGCCAACAGTAAGGAAATGAAGATAGGAGACGATTACTTGATAGAGATTTCAAGCAAAGGTCAGGTCTAAATTGCAGAATTGCAAGAAGTGGTGGACGACATAGGGACGGTGGGGAAAATGTTGACCAGGTTGGAAGATGGATGTTTTAGTCTTCATCGAATGAAAATAGAGATAAATAGTTAAAGAAAGGCCAAGGAAAAACTTAAGAGACCTGAAAAAAAGATGAGAAGGATGAGAAGAAGGACAAAGAGGAAAATGAACATATGAGAGCGAACAATAATAAACTGTAAAGAGGAGAATGTGAAAAGAAAAAATAGGAGGAGGAAGAGAAGCAGAAAGATTAATGAAAAGAAGAAAAAGCCGAAAGATGCAATGAAGAAGATGAGAAGATGGTGGAGAATAGTAAGGTAGAAGATAAAGTTAAACGGCCCTTATCATCTCCACTCCATTGCCTCTAATATATATATATATATATATATATATATATATATATATATATATATATATATATATATATATATATATATATATATATATATATATATATATATATATAAAATTTATTTATTCCCTCTTGCATAAAAAAATTAGTCGATATTTGGTGTGATAGATTGATGTTCATCATTTTACTTTCTGAAAGAGATTTTCTATTAGTCTTAGAGCCGTATTTAAGATAATGAAATCTTGCTTAGGGCTTATGCATAGCTATTTATCGAATAGGAAATTCTCCAATAACATAATAGCTTCCTCAACATCAAATAGCAATTCCACCATTGGTATGCTATCTAACGTTTTCAACATTCCATTTCATGATCTTAAGAGTTTATATACTTTATTTATGTAGGTTGTTGGCTGGATCGTGACGAAAATCTAGCCTTTAATTTTGACCAGATATTGTTTAGTATTTTACGCTTTCTTTCTGAACAGCATTACACAAAGTCGGTTAGAGTTTATAGAAATTGAGAGAGATGATAAAAGCCGTTATAAAATTCACATATTATTCACAAAGAAGAACAATTGTATATTATATATATATATATATATATATATATATATATATATATATATATATATATATATATATATATATATATATATATATATATACTTTCGAGGCAGCTGATAGAGAAAACAATCATATAAAACACTGACAAAATTACACCTACCGCGAAGTTTGACACCGCCACGTGAATGTCATCTAGCTCCTTGGAGTACTGATCCCATTCAGACTCGACAAACGTCGTCAAGTACAAATAGACTAATTTGGACGAGAAGAGGCTTAAAGTGTTGTCGATGCATATCGAATAATCACCTATACAAAAGAAAAGTGTATATAATACAATTGCACTAAATGATTCTTGCAAAAAGCCAGTCAAATAATAGGAAATCGAAGTATTTGATTTATATATTATATCTCTTCCCTTCGTCGAATTGGATGTAAACATTCCAGGAACGAATGTTTATGTTCAAATCTCTCTCTCTCTCTCTCTCTCTCTCTCTCTCTCTCTCTCTCTCTCTCTCTCTCTCTCTCTCTCTCTCTCTCTCTCTCTCTCTCTCTCTCTCTATATATATATATATATATATATATATATATATATATATATATATATATATATATATGTGTGTGTGTGTGTGTGTGTGTGTGCAAATTTATCAGTTGACGTATCTTCATCTACTTATCTATGTAACTAGTCAGACTGCCAACTATAATATTCTTACGCCATTCCGTTTCTTCTAATCCTCATATCGCTATTAAAAATAGAACTTCAAGGATATAAATAATGTACAAAACTAAGTCACTTTATGAATTGATTTATGATATCTAACCTGGTGACCAGGGACTCTCAAACACTGTCAACTTGTTGGCATGATGAATCAAACGGCAGTTTCTTTAATAAAACTGTCGTCATATTTGCATGGGCGAGTCTATGTTTTTCAAGAAACAAATGTGACTCGTTTGATAATTGCAATAACACCTTTGATATTAGAATTGCTTCTCTTTTAACGTATGTATACAAGGGTTCCTACGATCTATTTGTCCATTTCGTTTAGAAATTATTTCAAATTACAAATATTGGACGCAGACGACACGGGAATACAATGAATATGCTAGTTAGAAATTATAAATCTTTGACTAAAATGTCTAAACTTTGCGCATTTTTTATCTTCTTGATGCTTTTCGTCTTTGATACCAGTAGGTGAGTACAAGCAAACGGGAACCGCTCCGGTGGCCTAGTGGTTAGAGCGTCCGCCTTGGATGTGGAAGGTTGTGGGATCAATCCCCAGTCTTGTTATAACAAAGACTTACAAAAATGATACTAACAGCTGCCTCGCGTGACGCTCAGAATTAAGAAGTAGTGTTAGGGCTGGTCGGCCTGGTGTCAGGATAATGTGAATTTGTGGGTTATCATGCTACATGTCTGCGGCATGATGCCCCAGTGCTAAACATCACTATAAACTGCCAGACTGGAGACATCTTAGCTATATGACTGAGACTTTGTTAAAGCTACGTTAAAAATCATAATCACATCACATTACAAGCAAACGGGAGAATGTGCGAATGAAACAGCATGCTAGCTAGACGTGCATATCCATGAGTATCAATCCAGGAAGTGGTTAGCCAAGCAGACACATGGTTCACGTGTGTTGATGTGCTTATAACATTATTTTTCATGTTAGCTTTAAGAGAAATTTCAGTATGTCAGTTTATTTATAGTCCGTCAGTCAATCCATCATTGAGCTTCTTTCAGCCCTTATGTTTACGGGTTATTTTATCTTCCTATCTGTGTGTCTGTTCGACGAACAGTTTTTAAATATATGTCTCTATTAGCAAGCACGTATACATGAAAGCTGCATGATAGCAAGAAATATTTATAAGAAGGGTTGAGTTTAACTTACCCGTTTCTGTCACTATCCTATCAATATTCCCATCTGGTTTATCTTTTATTGAATCTATGATTGTCTGGTTAGGATTTTTGAGGAATACATTTACTTTTCTGTTATCGCCCCGTAGTACCTATAGGATTAAAAGTAATAATAAAAATTTAGTAACACAATTAGTTACTTTTATAGAATGAATAATGAATAAATGGCAGGAATCATGGAAGATACAATGTGTGTACATAATAAAACGCGTCTACTACAAAGGCTGTATTGGGACATAGAAATATGGATCTATAATTGAGACGAAAACATACCCATTTTCGTTGTATAAATGATTGAAGTGCGACAATGTGTGTAAATAATAAAACGCGTCTACTACAAAGGCTGTATTGGGCAACGTTAGAAATATGGAGTCATAAATGGGACGAAAACATACCCATTTTCGATATAGAAATATGTTTGAAGTGCGACAATGTGTGCGATGTCCTTTGTATTAAACTTGACTGAAAAAGACCATAATACTTAAAAGATTGCTATGCTGTGTCGACTGGCTGTGTGAGAGTGATGCAAGAAGATATATAATGAACAGTGTGAGACATGACGTCCGTATCTGCCGACTTGTACAGTCTTGACTCAGATTCGCATTTGTTTATGTTTATAACAATACGAGCACAACCCATATGACGAAGTCGTATCAGTCTTTACTCGTCTGATGCCAAATATCTGATGTGTATATCGTAATGTTAAGAGTCCCTTCTTTACTCTATTCTCATCTTAAAGGACTCAGCTTACCATCACTGAACGATCGACCTAAGCTTACGCTATTTCGAGAAATATTCATATAAGTTGTATTTTTTCCCAATCTTGGCAGGCAGAGAAAATCCTTTTAGTCCGTCTTTCTTCCTCAACATATGACTCTGAGTGACAAAATTAAGACTGAGACTACATCTGGTTGTAATACTCCTACTCACAATTCTTTCTCCAAGTGGAGCAATTGTATTTCAATAAAAAAGTGACCTAAGTTAAGCATTCTATTTCCAATTAGTTTTGTGCGTCTTTGCTGAATGTATATATCCTTCTGTTGGAATATTGTTACATGTAATGATCGTTGGGCCCAAATATCGACAAAGTTAATAAAGAAGGCAATGTTCGTCTTGGATGTAACAGAAAAAATACTAGGGTTTTTTCGGGATGTGTGCCGGTATTGCATTTTCACTAAGTTTTAGAAGGGCTTTTATTGCGTACTTGAATATGTGGACAAATAATTACAAGTAAATAAACTAAATCTCTGTGGTTATGTATGCAAGAATTTCATGTATTATTTTTTAGAACTTTATCAGTTCCAAACGTTTGAGGTAAATAACTAACTATCCTTTCTTGAATTGGTGTTGAACGAAACATGTGACGATTCTAAATATAACACATAATGAAGAATATAACCTTGCTTTTTTTTCTCGAAAAATATAAAACGTAAGTAAATTCTTTAATTCCATATAAATGTGTACCAGCTGATCATGGCATGCTGTTTCCTAAGTGCATTTCTCTCTCAGGCAGAAAAATATGGAAGCCATTTGTAACGTATGAAAGTAACCAATCACATATAGCTTTTATAATTCAATATATAATCGTAAATTAGCTTCCATAATGTTTAGCAGTTGCTACAAAATAAATTTTAATTGTTTGCCTTTACCAACATTTTCATTGATGAATGAGTCTTCGTATTCTTGCAATAATCTCTCTTTCTCATTCAATCTTTTGTTTTGAATCGTTTACTCTTTCTCATATCTATTAAGACAATGTCGTATTATCTGCTTGAAGACATCAGCTTCAAAATTGAAACATCATCCCCCAACTCGCTGATTCCTCGAAGATTTTCATCCTTTCCGATAATTTCTTACGAGTTTCTCCCTCTTTAACAAAGTTTATAAAGATTCTCGGTTGTTGATGAAACTAGTAGTTTTTTTCTTTGCCCTCCAAAATATATGCTATCTCTTGGAGAATCTTGTCAAGCCTTAATATGTATTAGCCTTACCTTAGCAGTATTTGGCATGCATGCCTTTTTCTCACTCTTTTATTACAAACAGGACAAGCACGCGGGATTCCCTTAGTGACCATATCTGTGTTAATTTGTTAGAAATGACAAAGACCATACACTGGTCTTTAGCAGAAACTATTTGCAAAAAGGCTTGTAATTCCAGATATCTGGCCACGTTAATATTGCCTATAGAAAAGACCACCTGGTACCTTCTTCTTAGCTTCCCAGTTGGACATCCTTAGATAGTCCACTCTGTCTCCACTATCTGTCGCACATCATGAATCACTGACCTTCTCTCAGACGAGTTAGTCTCCTTCCAGCACTAGGTATGGTCTGCTTTAAAATATTTTTTTTTTTCAGAATTGGTTTTTCTTACAGTGTCCTTGTGCAAAAGTCTTCAATCTGCTGTTACATTTGCACAGGAAAATGACCATTCGAACCTGTCCTGACTACAACACCTGCTACTCTTATCTTCTCGTCCAGAGAGTTCTTAGGCGTCATAAATAACCTCACCTTGACCAAATTTAACTCTGAAACCATCTAAGCCATTGGCGAAGGTGCTTACTGATTTTGTTCTCTCGTTGCCCTCCATTGCTATCTCCAATATCATCATAATATGATGTTTTCAATCCTTGACTTGAATTTGTCAGTTTTCCTTCTTCTACCTGGTCATCTTGCTCATTCACTTTTCTGCCTTGTTATTTACCAATTTGGTGTTGTTTGTTGCGTTCAGCGTAGAAACAAACCACTTGGCAAGGTACTGCAGTATAAACGAAATACACTATGGACAAAAAAAAAACTCATATGAATCATTTGAATCAAATAAAATTTTAAAAACTATGCAGTTGACTCAAAAATGTGTAAAGCTTCTGAGTCATAAAAATTGGCTTAGATACATAAAATATTTAGTAATCTTTTAAAGAGTAATTGGTTCATATTCAATTATGAAAGTTAATTTTGCTTGTTTACATTTATGTATCGTTTTCGCTGACAACTGCATAACATTTTTGATTTTAATGAGATTGCGGATGACTAGTGTTCTCCATCTTTGCAAACCGCCATACCTTTTCCCATGATGCACCTTTTCCATCAGTCGGGTTCCTTGCTGGTATGCCTGCTACTAAGTAGTTCACAACACGATTTACATATTTTAGTAGCAACCATCCTCTGATATTGACTTGACTATTTACATTGGGTGCCAATGAAGGACTTTATATGCCGATTTGTGCAGTGGATTGTGAGGAAAGAGGAGTTAAGCGCTTCGCATGCATAACCGCTATCTTACCTGGACACTCGCCTTGTCGACACCCGACATACATATAAAATGGCTGCCACACCCTAGTAAAAACGTACCAAAGATGTAACAAATCTTTATGTTATATATAAGTAGTCTACCAGTTTTAGTAACAATTGTAAGTCTTCTAAAGTCATGGTCCTTGTACATGTAAGAGAATTGGGGCAGTATCATTCCTCTATGAAAAATATTAATTGTATTAGACACACGATATAAAATATATGTTATAACACGATTTCAGAGATATTTACACCTTTAAATTATAAAGGTTGTCATTTTTATTGAAGTTGAGGATTCAAACCTTATTAAAATTATTATTATTATTATTATTATTATTATTATTATTATTATTATCAGCTGACCAATTCAATGTGTGTGTGTGTGTGTGTGTGTGTGTGTGTGTGTGTGTGTGTGTGTGTGTGTGTGACACAGGTGCGAGTTTGCCATTAGTGAGCGTGTGATAGCCTGAGGGATTAATCATTGCTTGGGGCGCATGAAAAATACGATAAATGCGCTAGTCGTTCGTATACTCTCTGCATTATCGATACCTTTTTCATGGTGTCTACGTCTATTATGACGAATGCACTTCGCGAGAATTGTAGTATCTGGATGTTTAGGATCTTTGTGTAATGATTTTTTTATTTTGTCTTGTATCGTTCACACTCAATAAACCCCACGATACATACATACATACATACATACATACATACATACATACATACATACATACATACATACATACATACATACATACATACATACATACATACATACATACATACATACATACATACATATTCACAAAAACTATTGACAGTACCTTGTAGGTCAGATCAAAGGTTGCCCCTTCCCGTAACTTTTGGTAGAAACATTCTACTCTCCCAGCTCCCACCTGCACCGCAAACTGATGGCGAACGCCGGGAAAGCCATCAAAATCGAATTCACCTGTCTCCTCACCAAGAACAATTTCGGAACACAGTGATTTAAACTGAAGAAAGCAGACGAGGCATTGAAAGAGATAAGTGATTGATAATTTGGCCTTAGTGGTCATTATAATTTGTAGTTTACGTCAAGCTTTGCTGCA